CCCTCTTAGAAACAGCTACATCACTTAATGTAGCACTTGGTGAAGTATCAGCAAGTGTATCGACATTGGAATCCCCAACCCTGTTTTCACGTGCATTTTCAAACCTTTTGCCCAATGACTGAACCTTCAACAAGTCATAGCTGGACAAGAGTCTTCCCGACACATTAGCTTCATCATTATTGTCAAGTCCACCAAACGATATGATATTGGTTTCCCCTCTCTGGAAAGTGTGACTCATTGACATATTATTTTTATCAACTTCGTTGGATCTTTGCATTAATGATGCAGTACTTCCATTTACCCTGCCGAAACGGTTGCCAATCCATGCAGCATTAGTTCTCTCATGAGAGTTTTGATCCATTGATGTGATGTTTCTATCACCTCTTCTATAGGTTTGACTATACATTGCAATGCTTGAATCATCTTTATTTAAAGAAGATTGATTATGTGAAAAGTAGCAATCCTTCTCCTTGGAGCTGTGACCACCAACCAGTTCACCACTGTTTATTTTATTAATGGGAAGCTGACCCATGGATATAAAAATATTATCTTCTCTTTGAAACATGTCTCCCATTGACATCAAATCACCACCAAATATATTGGAAGAAAGTCGCATGGATGCTGTAGTATTATCTGCCTTGCTAAAAACACGGGCTGGAGACACAATGCTGTTAACTCTCATGGTATCACCCATTGTCGTCGGATTGAATTTATCAGTATCCGTCCTTTGACTGAGTTTTACTTCTGCAATTCCTCCATGTTTTATATTCAAACTAGGATCCTCCAGGCTCTCAGCTCCTATTGATAAACCAAAAGAAGAATCACTTCCCAAGGAATCCTCAAGAAGCTTTCTAGACGCAACCCTGGTACCAAAGCTAATTGGCATAAGATTTCTGTCGTCATAACTGATGAGTTCTCTAATCTGATCACCATCTAAAACCCGCTCAGAGTACTGCCGTGGTATGGAATGCAAACTGGAAAAATTCATCCAAGGTGAGATATTGGAATTCATAAGTGCAGTGAAAGTTTGATTGTTGGTCTTATCAACACCTTGTTTTTTGTTGGGAGGTAAATCTGGCTCAATGCCACCCATGAACCACTGATGGGAACGTTTTGGGTCTACTATTGAAGACTTATTATGATTCGCCATTGCAGGATCACTGATGTAGTTCAACAGACCACAAACATCTCCTTATAAAAGCAACCAAGAGAAATTTTCATCAGACTTAAATACTATTCAAAATTAAAAGCATGAATTTTCCATACTATACGGAAAATAATTTTGTCTTCAAATTTTAATTACACAAGCAAGGGAACAAAAAAATATGAATGTAATGGTTGAATTTCACAACACAAAAACCTCAATTTTGGCTCACTAAAATTACTTTTGGAGCCTTAGATCATTAATGACATCAAATGGATAGGATAGATGAAATTGTGTCAACAAAATTTCAAATTAATATCCAATCCGCCCTAATGGTAGAAGCTTACTTAGACACTAATGATCCACTAATTCAGAATCTATTTTTCATGGACACAACAACAAATTGAAAGTTTCCTCACATGATCAAACTACATATTCTCATTGATGATTTAATAAACTAAAATAGTCACACCACCTCTCGATTTGTAGAACTTGTGATGTTTTTAATACACACACACACACACACATAATATGGGAAGGAGGTAATTTTTTTATGGGAAGGAGGGAATTTTGAGAAAAAAACATAATATAGTAACATAATTTAAAACTCTAGACACCAGAGATTGAAAACATTATGAAATAATGATTACTAATAGCAATTATCAAAATGAACATAAAAACCATTGTCGTGTTGTTTACTTCCACTTTCGGATTAACTGCAAGAATAAATTTACTACAAGAATCCAAGTCAAGAAGCTTCTCAGGGCACATTGCTTTTTGTTTAAAATATAAACTACACGAATAAATTTAACCCATGTGGGATCCAACTGCGTTGTTATTGCTGTTGTTGTGTGAATTTACTCTAAAAAAAAGAAAGAAGAACATTTTAATTCTTCGTCTTTTCTAGCTAACGAAAAGAGCTTTCTTCCCTCCCTGTTTTGTTTTGATTTACCCATAAACCTAAAGGCTACCTACATTCAACAAAAAGGTAGACTCGAAGAAAAAACATAAAAAAATCAGGAAACTTTAGAACAATATTAAAGTTATTCCAAGAGGCCTTCGAAAAAGACAAATGGTATTCTAATATGCAACCAAAGTGAGTTGCAAAACCCTAAACGGCCAAAAGCAAAGGTGGGCTTCCACGTCTGATTCACTGTATCAAAAAGGGAAAAAGATCGCTGCTTCTCTTTTCATTGGACACATAATATAAGGATCACTGGCGATGTGTAGAGTCATGTTACAGATTTGAAATTTTACCATGATCTCGAAATAGGTTAATGTAAACATCTAATGGTTGCGTTTAATGTCTGCAAAATTGAAATAACGATGAACGAGCAAAAATGGAAAAAACGCCAAATTGAGGCAGTAAAGAAGAAGAAGGGCCGAAAGAATACCAGAATGAAGCAGCGAAGAAGAAGAGCATATCTGGAGATAGAAACAACTGTGAATGGTGGAAGGGCCAATCCAAAGGTGAACATTAGAGATTTCTAGAGCTGACCTTCTATGCTTAGACGCTTCAGGTGCGCTTCGAATTTGCACCAGGAGGAGACACTTCTTTATACCCCAATTTTTGAGTAAATTATAAGGAGCTTGCTACATCTATCCAAAATTTGTACCTAATTTGTACACCAAAGATATGTACCAACATTTTGATGTTCACATTGATATAAAGTATTGGTGTGATAAAAAAAATTTACACTGACACAAAGTGTTGGTGCGTTAACAAAAATTATCATTACACCAACACAAAATGTTAGTACATCCTTGTGATGTACAAAATGAGGTACAAATTCTTGGGGTACAAATTCTTGGGGTACAAATAGTATTATCCTAATTATAAAGAGGATGCTATGGGTACACTAAAGGTGTACCCCAATTGTACACCCCAATTGCTTCCTTGACTTCTTAGAGGGTAGGTTAATGAGGGTTTGGTTATCAGCTTTATTGACCAGAGTTGGGATATTTGAGAAGAATTGGTCATATCCCTCACTAATTTCACAGGAGAACAGTTGATTCAAGTAGTTAACAGCCTCGTGTTGAATTTCTTTATTGTCACCAATCCACTGTCCCTGCTTGTTTTTAATTCTCTGGATTGTTTAGAAATGTCTTTTTCTTTCAAGATTGCATGGAAGTATGAGGAACCCTCATTCAATATTCCTTATCGAGACCTTATATATATATATATATATATACACACACACACACACACACACACACACACACACACACACACACACATACACCTTGGTTCCCATGACATTGGTCATGGGAACCAATGTCATGGGATAACTCGGGGGTGCTCCGGTGCCCCGTTTGTAAAATTGACGGTTCCTACCCCTCTAACCCCCCTGGTAAACCACCCCACCCCGACCCGAAACACACCCCCCACCCCACCACTAGCATTTCTCCGTGCGATGCACGGATTTTAGTGCCCGATATAATTTTAGTGTATTGGGATTTTTTGTGATCGCTATTTTATATTTTTAGCACTTTTATTTTGTTTGAGTAAAGTTAATGTTTATAATGTAGATCTATAGTTATTAATCTCAGATAATGTTATAGAATTTAAATTCATTAAAAAGAGACGCATAACATGTGTTTTAGGGTGTTTTGAATAAAAAAATATTTTACAGTGACCAAAAACAAAACTTTCCTATTTTATAGGGACTAAAAACATATTTAACTTTAATAATAATAATAATAGTAGTAGTAGTAGTAATATAGCATATTCATTTTTGTTTGTAATAAAGTTGCTCTCTATTATATGTTTACTATTCACATTATCAATCTTTAGTCATTTTCTTTCCCTATTATTTTCATTATTTCTCTCCCTATTACTTTATGAGAGTCTTAAATCCTAATTATATCACCAGTTTTTTGTATAACTTTTGTTGTAAATTTTTTAATATGCAAATTTTATTTCTTTAATTTTTCTTCAATTTTCTAATAAATAGTATTGAAAATAATTTTGTTCAAACATAATAAATGAAAACAGAAAATTTAATGGGATAGAGGGAGTGTAAAATGTAAAGTCACTTTGTTTTCATCCAAACTTATAATATTACAACTTATAAAATGTAAATAACTTATACAAAGTAATTGTCTTTTAATGTAAAAACAAAGCTATAATATTATTTACCTCACGCTTATACGCAATAACATATTCGAAGTATCCATTATAGAAGGAAATGCAATTATATGAGTATAACTCAATAGCTTATTTCTGATGTAGATAACTGACATTGAAACATTATATTATAAAATGCCATTGCAAACAAAGGATTAAATGTGTTCCATTACAATCTATCGCATCACGAATGGCAACCCAGGAATGGGCCATGACATATTCCATAATTATTTTCCATGCATCTGAAAAATACTTCGTACATCACTAATCTTTTACAAGTGGGTATTTGGTCAACATATTAAAGTAGTGCATTAGAGCATCTCCATTGGTGGTGGCAGATTCAAAATATTGGTTGTCAGCCTGCATAAACATAAAGAACTCCATAAATTTACTACCAAGTTTAAAGTCAATAATATCACCTCATATAAATTTCACAACCAAGTATAAATGCCTTGAAGAATAGAGAAATTTCCGGACAAATACTTCATTCCCATGCGTAATGTACATTTCTCTCAGTGTAAAGTTAATTGATCACGCAAGAGATTTGCATGTTAATTGATTAGGCAACAAGAAGAATTCACATCATGATAATTTTAATTCATACAGTGAGCAAGTTAACTGAGATAGCATTCTTGATGGGCTCTCACAAACATTTGGGTTGCTGAATCCATTAGCCAACCCAATCAAATTACTGAATGCCAAGCCAGTTCACTTGATCACAAGGGAGCAAGTGTCTGTTTCCTATACTTTTTTACCTTTTCAAAATAAACAGGCTAAAGTATCTGAAATGGATATAGTTGTGGTTTAGTGAAATATTGTAAAATCTATTTTTAAAGAAAATAAAGAAAATAAACTCAAAATTTTCTAATTAAATCAAATTAAAAACATTTCTCATTACCAGAATGTCATAGAACAGTTTGGTCAGCCAATGTTTAGTGAAAAAAGAGGCCTTGATTAGCCAAACTAAAGCCTACCAAATAGGAGCTCCATTTTCAGTTGGTTTACCTCAACCTGTCTTTGCAAGGACTGAACATAGCATGAGAGCTTTTCGGTTACCTGCTTGTGAATTTGTCTACCCTTCATCAAAATTAAATATACGGCATGCTAGCATGAGAGCTTTTCGCTTACATGTTTCGTCCAGCAAGCATGCTACAACTTTTTTCCCAAGTGGGATCAATCAAGAGCGTTTGGCACCACATTGCATCAGAGTCCATCATTGGTTGAGATGCCCAAGGCAGAAAAATTAGATGGGCATGTTATAAGCCAGTATCTTTATCATTCATCAGTTGCTCAAGTATTTGGTCTCCAACTAAGCCCTTCATCTCAGTTTACACCAGTTCAAAATCATTGACTATCATCTACAAGTTCTTTGCAAAAAGTTTGTTCGTCATCCCTAGGTTGTTTCTGTTGAAATTGGTGAGATTATCTCATCTCTTTTCAGAAATAATACTCAGGTAAGATTATCTCTAGCAAACATATGGTTTCTAAAAGTAGAAAAGAAATGAAACTTTTCAGATGTTAAAACCTCTACCAATTTGATTTGAACAACCTTTGAATCATCTCTTAAAGCTCTTACATCAAATTCAGTTTGTTCCTTTTCAAGTACAAGGGAGATAGCCGTATCAACATCAAAGTGAATGCCAACTTTATTATTTTGATTATATTCTAAACTGTCAGTTTCATAACTTTGGAACCAATCAAGATCATGAAAAACTTTTTCTAATCCATATTCAGCTTCACTTTTAGAATCAGCCACAAAAAATTTAAATTTTTCTTGAGAATCAACTCCAAACTCAACTTCTTTTTCAAAATCAGCCCTTAATAATTTAAGTTCCTTTTGAAAATCGTAATCATAATCACGTTCTTTTGAAAAATCAGCCCCTGAAACTTCAAATTCAGCCCCTAATTCAAAATATTTTTCAAACTTAGCTTTTAAAGGTTCACTTGGCCTAAAGAAATCAAGTTTAAATTCTGATTCCTTCAAAAATCAGTCTCTAAAACTTCAATTTTCTTTTGAAAATCAGCTTGTACATCAGTTTCCATTCAAACTTGAGAATCTTTTTTGCATCTTGCTTAAAAAGAAGTTTTTTAACTCTGTGATTTTATTTTAAAAGAGTCTTAGAAACGGCTTTTTTTAAAAGAGTCTTATTTTATTTTATTTTATCGGACTTTGATGTGTTTGTTTGTTTTAAGCTAAACATAAATGCAAAAAAACAATGCAATTCAAATCTAATTTTAGAAAAAATTGAAATGGAAACAACTTCACAAGTGCCTTGAGTTGCATCTTAGTTTAGGCATATCACGTGTGAAAATATTATACCAAATTCAACAACAAAAATTCTATCTCTACAATTAACTTGCTGTTTTAGTAGCATAATTTCATTGCAAAAGCAACCATACTCTCAAACCCATCATATCTATGTAAACGATAAACCTAAATCAAATTGAAATGTGGAAGAGATAAGTTGACTTACCATGGACGGCTGATTGAGAGGCGTGAGGATAGAGGAAAAGAGAGGTGGAGGTCGAATGGTGGGTTGAAGCAAATCTTCGTGGATTGAAAGGATCACAAAGATTTTTTAGAAAAGAGAGGAGAGATTGGGTAAGGCGCAGGAGATTGGAAGCGTAGTAGAATGAAGATATTGTAACCGCCATCTTCTCTGGTTGGCGCGTCGCTTCTACACACTTTAGAACCAAAAGCTGCAATAGTCGAAATAACGAACACATTACAAAAGTAATGCTGAAGTCTAAAAATTATATTGTAATTAACCTCATTTAAATCTGTATAGAGAAACATGCAAAAGAGATACCTAAAAAGAATCTTCATATGTATAGGCATGGGTTGCACTTATAGCTTTCTGAATCAAGCAATGAGCAACATGAGTTATACCCTGTTAAGAACCATCAATGCCATTCACTGCCGCCTAAGCCATGTCAAAATAACACTAATTAGAAACTGAAGTTTTGCCTCAACAGTATATATAACAACTTGATTATTGATAATATAGATAAACATTAAGCAATTTATGTCACTCAGTTTCACAAGCGCAAATGCTTTTATAATTGTATAGAATCCATGAACTACTTAGGATAAGGTCAAACCTTTAATTAGCAAAAGGACATATGTTGAATAATACAATCGGAGAATGGCAAGGTAGTGGATAACTCTACAATATTTGGCATATGAATTACAAAAATCAAATATTTCAAAATATTGACAATATGAAATTTTTCAATTTGAGAAGAGATATTCCAGTTTATTATAAAAATTCTAGTGTTCCAGTAAAGAGAATCCTGAAGTTGTTTAATTAATTTCACTAAAATCCTCTTTTAAAAGAAGTTCCATAGTCCATGCTTCATACCTAAGACTGTAAACTTCATGATATTTCACCGACCAAGAGCACGGCCTGCCTTTTTGGTGGTTTTGACTCGTAATGAGTCGAAGTTCAGTTTGAGTCAAACATTAGACCAAGATCTCCTAAAGATTCCAAAAAGAAGTAAGTCAATCAAACAACTTATTATTGAGTAAATAAGCTAATAAGCATTAGATTCAATAGCGATAAGACCAAAAGTAAAAGGAACACAAGGGCCCACATCTGGAGGTGTGGTAAACCAGAACTGTTCTGTAGCATTTCAAGTCAACTCCTAAAAATACTCAGTATTATACTAAAAAGTTAAATGATTATGTTAATCTAGACTTTCTTATTAACTGTAAATTATACTACATCAATTTAATTATATTCTTCTACACTTTGTTATTAATTGTAACTTAGAGGTCTTTGATACGTTTAATTAGCATACATTTCAAAGACCTGAAATAGGGAACAATGATTGCTAAGAGCAGTTTAAGTTTTCAAGGTTGAAGTTTCCATACCAGTGTTTTTAATTTGTGTGTGTCAGTTGGAACAAACGTAGAGTCAGTTAAGTGGCCAACAAAGGAGTACAGACAAAGTGAGGACATTAAACACATCAAGACATTAGTAACATCTACGTTTAATTTTCTACTAATTTTTTTAAAGTTTTCAATAAGGGTGGCTTAGGAGCGAGTGGTGATTACTTTGGCTCTAAGTAATATTTTCAACAATATCTTGAACGTGCCACATTACAGCTGATAACCTTATAGCCCTTCTCAAAAGACTAAAGAACTTCTTAAGAGCCGATTAAGCATGAAACTAAAGCAACATCCTATGTGAATCAATGAGGTCACATATGAAGACATCGAAATCAACTCCAATGTTATATAATCTATATCAACATAATACTTTCCATGTCCAAGGTTTTGTCTCTAAAAGGTTTTGTACATTTATGGTTTGTGAGGATCATGGAAAATACAACATTAAATACAATTATTGAATGGCCTTTCCTCCTTAATTTCTCCTTTGTTTTCTTTCCCTAGAATTTTCTAGGTTCCAAACAGACCCATAGTCATTTAGTTCAAAGAAAGATAAAATATCCATGCCACACAAAAAATAGTGAAACAAAAACATACTCCTTATATATTAGTGCAGCAGAAATCTGAATACCAGGTACTTTAACATTAAGTATGTGCCGAAAAAAAGAAGGTTTGATGGAGAACAAGAAAAGATGGAACACGGAAGTTTTAAAAGAGACCTGCGCACACGTGGAGGGGTAGATTCATGATGCAAATATGACAGAGCCTCAGCAGCTCCAATTGCAATTTTCAGCCGTGTTATCCAATCAAGTGACTTTAAATTGTCATCATCCGAATGATTTTTCCTGAACAAAGAACTCGAGAGATCTCCATTCGGCGTGTATTTGTACACCAGGAACTTTAGGTCTTCATTCTCCAATCAATGTCCCAAAGAAGGAATTTTCTTGTGTCAGAGACCTTGCTGAAGAAGTGAATAATTGGATTTGTAAATCAAGACGATAACTGAAATAATATTATCTTGATTATATAGACATTCAAGTAAGTTCTATACAAAATATTTATACCTGTCTTTTTAGCTTGATTTTGTATTTATGAGGTTGTGGCTGAGCAAGTGCATCCTTGGTTCCTCTTCTGGTCATCCTTTGCTGCCTCTACTTGCAGCTGCACCCACACAGCACACCATTAGATTCACATTGGAAGCTCCATCATCTCCACTGCATTTTTACCATATGAATTTCAAAACCAATCCCAAAATATTTACAGCTATGTGAAAAAGTTCAAACAACAATTAAGGTAGACCCACTCACATGAGAAGAGACCGCCGGAACCTTCAACGATTGCTTGCTGGATTGAACTGTCATCTTCAACCCTAAGACCGAGTGTTCTCAAAGCACCAAGCATATATCAAACATCATCACTGTTCAATAAATTTTCCACCACAATTGTTCCCTGTGAAGAAACATGCAATCAAGCCCAAAACATATTAACAGGCAGAAATTAACAAAAAATTAAGTTAAATTAAAACATATTGTCTAATACCATCTCCATTTCTCCAATTCATTGCACTAAGGGCATCTCCAACCGTGCAGCATTTGTGAAGATTTATAGTACATCCATCTGCAATGGTGCTCCGATTAGCAACCCAAAATGTTGATTTACTCTCTCTTTCTTCAGAATGGACCCAAATATAGGTTTACACTATTCATGCTGCATTTCACCTTTTTATTTGCAATTAACTCTTTGTTCTTCTTTTTAATTTGAAGGGGCAATTAACTCTTGCAATTAGATTAAGTCTAATTAATACGGTGCACTACAAAAAGACAGATTATATGGAGTATAATCCTGCAATCAATACTTCAAATTTTTATCTTAATTTATACCTCAATTTCAATATTGGAGTCAATATTATCATTTTGTGAAAAAGGTCCGATTCAACATTCAATTCATCCAATTCAACAATCAATTGCACAATTCATTCGATTACGATTCTAATCTACGAACTAACTCTAACGATAGACATCTGAAAACGCCTCATCTCGATATGCATGTAAGGACAATAAAGTCATGTGCACAAACCACCACCGATATGAGGAGGACAATGAGAAGAAATCCAAAAACATAATAGAACGATGCAAACCAGATGCCAAAGAGTATAAAGAAATTCTCAATGAAGAGAGTTCCAAAAGGAAGAGTTCTAGCACCAAGAACAAGAAGGCAAGATATATTTTAAAGGGTTGGGACCTCTCGGCATTTTAGACGGACTGCTTCATATCACACTCATGGATGAAACTCAGCATGTCTTCCAAGCATTCAAATGAGAGATTGTCCTGCTTTGGTGACAATTCATCCATCTCTCTTACACATGGCCAAAACAGACGATCTTAATACAATGTTTTTGAATCGAGAATCCCAAACAGTTCAGCTTGTACACATGTGTGACCTAACTAAAATAAATGCAAAACAAACACAAAAATTGCCACAGACAATGTCACTCAAACATGCGACTCTGAGGCCTAAATTCCATAGAAGTTAACCAAAAAAATATATACAGAGTATAAAATTAACAAGAGTTGTTTTCATCCAAAAAAACAAGAGATTTTAAGTGGAAGAGGAACTGGACATAGAAAC